CTGGGTGCGAAGGTCGGCCGCTGCGAGCTCGACCTCCTGAGCATTCTCATCCTGAATGATGAGATCATTGGGGACGTTGTCAGCAACGTTTCCCTGCCCTTCCTGGTTCAGTGGGGCATTCCTACCAGTGTTCCTTGACCTAGTTCTTGTCATAGCTAGCGGTAGTGTTGGTTGCGACGAAGGGTACTCACTTGATCTGTTCTGAGCTCTCAATGAAAGCACCAAATGATAGGGTATTAATTCTAGAGAGAAGTGAGAGCTAGAGAGAGAAAGTGAGTAATTATATTTCTCAACCCCCTATAACTAGCCCCAAGGGGTCTATTTATAGGTAAAAATGTGGATTTGGGCTCCTAGCCATGGGCTTAGGAGGCCCATTACAATAATCATGCCTTCTTTGGGCGAAATAGGGCCACTAATGGGCTGTGTACAATACTTAGTAAGTAAAGTAGAGAGATGTATTCTGCCAAGACGAAGTCTGGCCGATGCGATGCCTTCTGGCCGATGCGGTCCATGGCCGACGCGCACCCGGAAGTCCAGGTGCGTTTCCTGGGACGGGTTGGTCCTGGCCGATGCGGACCCCACTGGGCCGAAGAGGCCACGTGGGCGCTTTTCTGGTCATCGTTGACTTGAGTATGTGGGCTATGGGGTCTAGGCCCATATACTCTATCAATAAGGTTTGACAGTTTTATGCAAATGTCTTGAAATATTATTATTATTATATTATTACTATTATTATGCATATCAGTTTAGATAGAAAAATGTTCTACAAATTTTTGTAGCATTAGGCCCATTTTCATTTTCCGCCCCTAGGCCTTCAAACATACAGGGCCGCCCCTGGGCATTGTTTACGGATCCGGAGCCTCTACCTTACTTTAGAGTAAGGTAGAGTGCCTTGCTTCCTCCCGGTCGTCCGATCGACAATTCAACGGTTGGAGATCTTGGGCTCCACTTTTTCGCCGATCTCGAGGCCGTGTTGGCCGCTCCCCTTCCGTCCGATGCGCAAGGCACCCTCCTAGTCGGGTAGAGGATCCAATCCATTGTTTACATAGCAATCTTTATACATATTTTGTTTAATTCATAGCGGAGTTTGTGTCATCTCTACTGACACCACCTTGTGTTGAGTAAGGAAAATTTTGTTGGATCAAAGAGGTCTATCTTTATTAGATCAATAAGGTTTACATGTGTTGATATATCATTAAAAAGCATATAGAGTAAGAAAATCCAATGAAAAAGATAGATGGTGTGTCATTATAAGACTCCCTTTCTTTCAAGTTTAGATCTCCCTATGACATTCAAAAGGGTTTGAAAAGTTTATGTATTCCAATTATTTCACATTCGTTACCTTTATGAAATCACACCCTAAGGTGAAAAGGTGTGAAAAATCTATAATCATGTGTCATATGCACTAATAATCATGTGTTAATTACTTTTGGTGGTAATATATTAATTGTGTTATTTCGTTAAAACTACTGCTTATGCAAAATTTAAAAGTAGAATCATGCATATTGTATTGTTTTACACTTTTACTCCGTAATTAAACACCTTTTCATGAAGCAAGGTCCAATGAAAAAAAATCTTGACCAAGGGAGTAAAAGTGCAATGCTCCAATACTCCGGTTAATTGATCATAAATAGGTATGATGCGATTCGACCTAAACATTGTTGAAAATTTTAAAATTAGTTTTGTTCTTGCATTAATTGATTTTGCATCCCCCCACTCATGAAATCCGACTGGCACTAACTACTTGTAGTGACCTGTTAACACTTTGTAGTGACTGTGACTAGCTAAACCTTTTTGAAGGTTAGCTAAACAAATTTCAATTCTGATTTGTAACAATTAAACTCTTCTATTTTTTCATCGTTGAACTAGATTATTTCCATAACATGTTCATGTTTTTAGACTTTGAAATCAATGCAAATAGGTTTTGAATGTACTATTAGCTAATATATGTAGCAATTATGAGTGCGATATTTGTATTTCATTTTCTATGTTTGTGTTATGTGTACCAAAATCTGACAAAACATGCATCGTTAACGAAATTGAGGTATAAAAGTTCCTATAGGCTTGGTGCTTCTAAGAATTGCACCATTATATTCTTAAAGGTTCTTAATTATGTGAATATCGAGTTCTTTGTCATTAGCCCTAACCTTCTATGGATTATTTTTACCATTAATATTCTCCACAAGAAATAATTACATATTTATGACCAGAACAAACATTGTTTACATAAATGTGATTAATGACTAAAGTAGTAATGAAATCATAATAACTTATGTTCAATTTTTAAACATAAGTTATCATGACATTACATTGTAGTAACTATTAGGCATATTTGTGTAAATACGTTTTATTTTAGTAATATTTTGAACCTCCACAATAATGGTACGTATGGTATATCTCGGACTTGAGACTTATTAATATTTGAATCATTATGTACGTTTGTCATCACCATCATCTCATGTAAAAATTTACCTTTATAAACAGTTATCAAGAAAGTATATTGCGTGTCTTCGATTACTAAAGGGAAAATGAAAAGATACAACATAAAAGAGAATGATTATATTTTTCTTAACCAAATGAGATGAAGAGTATTTTTTAGATTTCTTAAAACTTGATGATACTTTCGGAAAATCATTTTTGATGAACTTGTAAATGTATTAGAAAAATATAAGCTCAATTTTGATATAAGAGGGGCAAGTTTATTATATAGGTCAAATAGGAAGGGAAAAGAGAACAAAAGAATATAAACTGTTGATCCTTTTATAGTTTTATATATCATGTGGTTGTCAAAATTTAAATTTAGTGATCGAGCTATTTCATTTTATGTGACATCGGCAACTCATGTGATCAAGCTATTTCATGGAAGCGTATACCATACAGCCGGCTGTACGGCTGGCACCGTACAGCCGGTGGCAGTTTTGTAATTTCGATGAAGTTCTTCGGTTCTATTAAATGAGCATTGATGTAATTTGGATGAGCATTGAGTCTGGTTTTCTGAGTATTAGGAGCCTAACAATGAGCACCAGTAATATCTGCTTCATATCTTCTAATTCAGTTTCTTTTTATTATATTTCGTTAATAAAAAATTCTTAAATTATGTTTATAATCAATTTCAATTAATTTCAATATTTGAATCTAATATAGTATTTTTATGTTTGAAATGTGAAACATTTTAAAATGAGCATAAAGTAGTACCTAGTGAGCATATATAACTTACAAAATGAGTATCAAAAAATTCAAAAGTTCATATGTGTATGCTCATTCATTTTGGGCGTTACATTCATTTGATTTTAACATAAAAACTCATTTTCAATGTGTTCAATATTAATTTGTGTGAGTTCATTTCTTTTAGGCGTATACTCATTTGAGTTTAATATAAAACTCATTTGAGATTGAATGAGCATACATAACCCACAAAATGAGTATAAAAAATTCAAAAGTTTATTTATGTGTGCTCATTGATTTTAAGCTTTATACTCATTTGTGTGTGCTCATTGATTTTAAGCCTTATACTCATTTGAGTTTAACATAAAACTCAGTTGTAATGTGTTTGACCCTTTTTCATTGAAAATCGGTATTACACACATAGGTTAATTTCCCACTTCAGCAACACTGTCTTCTTACAACACCTGAGTCAACACCCCCAATTACTCAATTCGCAGATGCTTCATACCAGGCACAACCCAATATAAAGTCGTTGTTCACAACTCCAAGCACTACAGATCGAAATTCAAACAAACTGAAATTAAGAAAAGGTTTTTGGGCAGGGCTTTGCTATCTGGATCGAACGATGAAGCGGAGCCGGATCTTCTTCTTCTGGTGCGAGGCTTCAGGTGTGAAACCGGATCTTCTTCTGGTGCGAGGCGAAGAAGCGTAAAAGCCAAAAAAAGGGCCGGCTGTACCGTGCGCACGGTACAGCCGGCTGTACCATGTATTTTACCCTATTTCACTTTTAGGTGTATTGCAATGTTTGTATTGTTTATTTTCCTCATCACCCACAGGCTATTTAGATCCAGAAAAAACTTGTAACAAAAATAATACTCCGTAAACAAAATAAGTAACAAAATTTAAATCAATATTTTTGAAGTAATTTTCCTGCTCCTCTCCTTGTTGCATATGGAGCAAACAAGTCTTTCCTCTTCTTCGACTAGAAGCTCTTTGAGGTAATTTCTGTATCGATCCATGAGTTTGACTAGTTCCGAGGAAAAGATTTTCCAAGTCATCAATTTGAATAGTCACAGAAAAGGAGATGTGTCAATTTTCTCTCAAAACTTAGCGGTGGATCAGGAGGATAACAAATGTCCGAGACTCCATAACCATCGTCAACCAATGTCAAAATGTGAGAAGATGGGGTAAAATAAGCCTAGCTAACCAGAAGCGCATAAACTCCTTCACCCTATCAGTTGAGCAAGAGGAAACGAAGACAAGAAGAACCTACATGTTGCTCTCACTCTACAATAGAAGAACCATTTTGAATTTATATACTCAATCATAATTGTGATTTTATGAGTGTATTAAGATGTTTTTACTTGGACTGTTTTCAATTATAGACCAAATCAGACAACACTTAAGCAGACTAGGTAAGACCAGGTAAAACTAGATTTGGATAGTTATGAAGTATACATAGACAAGCCATTTACTAGATCATACCAAATATGTTCAGACTAGACCAAAAAATTTTCAGTTCAATTCAAAACACCATTAGTTTTAATATGTGATGATCAACTCATTAAAGAGAGTTAACTATTATTCTCTTCGTCTTACTTCACATGTCTTACCTTCTTTTTTGAGTAGTCTCAAAATAAGTGTCATATTTCATTTTTTTAAAAGAAATACGAGTATGTGATCTACATCATTTAACTTAATGATACTCAAATATCAATCACAATTTTTACCTTCTTCAATCACTTTACTATCAAACCAAAACAAGACAGACACTTAATGGAAATAAAATGAGAATGAAAACCTATAAATTGGATTCTAGTCAAAACCCTTATCTGGAAAGAGGGAACATGCTTGTCATTTTCAACAATATTGGGTGCTTTTTATTACATTCTTCCTCCCCTTTCATGCCAATATTGTAGATATATCTATTTCAGCCCCTTTTCTGTATTCTTCTCACTCTCCTAACTGTCATTTTCCCCTACAGGATTCGCCGACTAGCTCAGCTTGCTCTATCTATCATCTATCTATGTGAGCAGATTTGTACTTGGTATTCAAATTTTATCGGCGTTTTTGGAATCGTTCTGCTCTCGGCGATCTCTCTTTCATTGGTATGCGAACTGCACCTGTCTTTCATCTGTTATATCGTGCGGCTCTTGCTGATCATGGATCACTTGATCTCAAACCCTAGGAGATTCTCCCGGTTTCTGTTCAAATGACTGTTTATTAGTTTTCTGCTGAAATAATGAGTTTCGATAATGGCTGCTGCATCTCTCTATATGTTAACGTGTGATGCTTCTTTGTTAAAAAATGGTTCTGTCATGGGCATGCACATTGGAATTACATTTCATGGTTTTTGGATAAATACTAGTTCTAAGGCGTTGTGAATATTATAGAACGCAGTGAACTGACAATGAAATAAGGGGATTTTAAATATTTTCTTTTAAATCTTTATGGAATGCCATTTTCATTGATGTGTGTCAACTGTTGAATTGGTTCCCTGATTCCATTGTTGTCATTTGGCTTCTGATTTTCAGCCAGGGAAGGTTTGTTTTATTTAACCCTCTTTCTGACCTTTTTGTAGTTGAAGTTCAATTTCCTCCCATTAATAGAATGTAAACTTTGTCCTTTGTATTTGTAAGAGAGATATCCGTATTGGAACAATAAAGACATTGTCATGTGAACTTTTGGTACATTGTATTACGGAGTATTATTTTGGAATGAAACTATCTTAAGAATATAGATTTTCTTGAGCTGAATTAAATTAGCACTTAGAATGCCACTTAGTGATCTAAGATCGCTTTTCTTTCTCATTGTCTCATTGTTTGATGACCCCAGTCCCTGACCACAAAGTTTTGTTTGAATTTTACCCTCAAAGCTTATAGAATGTAAACCAAATTTTAGTTATAAATGATAATTTAAGAGTTGGATGTACATATATGGTGTGTTCTAGCCTTCTACGTCTTCATCCCCATGAGGTTGGAAACAACAAAACAAAATTTATATAAGTTGATTTGTTCAAAATGTTCACATGGTTTATTTACCTCAATCTTGTGCTAGCAAATGTATAAAGATTCATTTAGTCCCTTTGTTGTTGTAGCTGCTGTATTTTCACTTTATGAGCTATTGGCTACTGAGGGTAGATGCCTGTTGCAAAACTCAGCACTACCAGTGCTCCAGATGCAATGAGATCAGATGAAGGCAACAATTCACTTGATACATTCATTAGGCAAGCTATAGGGAAAGAGCATCTTCTTTCATTCTCAAAAACTGGGGATAACCCTTTACAGTGGGTCCAGTTGCTTCATGGCATAGATCAGCCAGGTAAAACGAAAAATGTTCAAAGGGGTCCAGTCATCAACAAACTTCAATTATCAGAGAATGGGTCATACTAGTATTGAATTGTATTGGCAGATTAGAAATTGTATTACATGTAAAGTTATCTTGCGAATTTATTTGCACAAAGAAGTAAAAAATGTTTTTTCCATCATTTGCAATGGAGCCAAAGATTCACTATTTTTGTCTTGAGAATATGATGGAATAAAGCAAAATGGCTCACTAAATTGTCTGCGCTTCGTTGTTATGAAGCAGCAGTCAGTCCATGCAATTTTGGACGCAATTTTCACTATTGGTCATCCGAAAACAGTCTCTCTGTTCTTTAGTATAGGGGTAAGACGGCGTACATCCGATCCTCTCCTTACCCTACCGCAGGTGGGAGCCTTTGCGGAACTGGGGTAATGATAATGATGATGATGATAATGATGATGAAATAAGTAAAAAAATGTTGTGTCATTACTATGTTTAATTGTTTATCCCCTGGTAGAGTGGTAGAGGCTAAAATAATTAAACAATCATGGAAAGTTGGAGGTAGTATGTTTGTGGGAAAAGTTTCTGCCAAGATGCTGATGGTTTTTCCTTACTTTCTTGCAGATCTCACAGGATGGCCTTTGCTGACTTCATCAAAGTTTCAAATGCAAAAGTGTGATAAATGTTCTCAGGAATTTTGTTCACCTATTAACTATCGAAGGCATACACGCTTCCACCGTCGATCGTTCAATTTTGAAAAGGTCTTATTTGTTTGTCCTTTTTTATTCTACTCTGGTAATGTTTGTACACCTTTAGGGGCCTGTGGTTTATTCTCAGACAAACCTGAGGCATGTCGTACTATGCCAGTTGCATTAGAGGGGTGTGCACACTAACGGCGTTGAATCTTGTACATGTGACGCATATTTGACATTTTTGCTGACACATATTTTTCATTTTGGATCCAACTTGACATCACATGACATCTAATATGATATACTACGTATAACTATTAATGCACAGCCGTCGTCACTTCATAATTATGGCCTATGACCGCCGCCGGTGACACCAGAACTTTTTTTGAAAAATATAATTATTATACAGAGTATATATAAGTTATCTTTGGATGGATTTTTAATTCATATAAAAACTATTATTTACACTGAAATAACTAAATAGACATACTCACTGGCCATTGATTGTTCTATATTGCCTGGCCCATTATATCTTACCAGTTATCTAGTGGGGGTAGCCATTCATGGAAAATCATTTCTACTTTAGCATTCTTCAAATCTTATTTATATTTACTTGTCCAAATATGTATGTATGTGCTCAAGGTATCAGTCTTACAATATATACAAATTTCTCCAGGAATCTCGTAAGTATAGGGATTTACTGGGAGCATACTGGGACAAGGTAATTCTCACTATTTTTTATTTAACTTGTAGTGCATGTTTCATGGTTGCATTATAGTTATGAAATATTTGTTGATGGTTTTTTTGCACCCAGCTCTCATTAGAAGAGATTAAAGAAGTCACATCACTGAATGACGTTTCACTAAAGGTAAAAAATGCCCATCAACCTGACGCTATTTGTCGTCCTTCCTTATGTTCTCTTCTCATTCATATGTAGAGAAAGCTGACTTGAAAATAATATGTTTTTTCAGGAAGTCTCTGGTGCTTCACTTATCGACGAACTGAATCGCTTTCTCCACAGAGCAGATGTTTGGACTATTCCCACAGTTTATGCAAATGCTGGTTCTACACTATTGGTAAGATTGCTTTGTGATGATTTTTTTTCTGGCTCTCATGCCTGCTATCTATTCTTCTTTCTTATTTTATTTAGACAATTAGACCCCATTGGGGCCCATTAGGGATGGATTTACGGGAAAGGGAAAAGATATGGTTTGTCCTTGCACAATCCAGAAAAAATTGATTGAACGTGCCAAAAGTTACTGTAATGCAAAATGCAGTCCAGCATGAGTCTTGATTGCATTTGACGTTTAAATTTAGTTTTTAAACATTTTCCACATAACTCTAAAAGTACTTCCCTGCTGCAATATGTTAGAAGTATTTTATGAAAATGCTCTTCCACCAAGGAGCTTTATCTACTCGGGACCTCATTCAAAAATAGGCTCTAGTATATTCTAAACGGGGATTATTTGCAGGAACTCATTCAAGCAAAACCTTCCGTGATTCCATTATCATCTCAGGATCTATTTAGCATCCTTGATGATGCTAGTGAGAGGACATTCCTATGTGCCGGTACAGCTGAATCAGTGCAAAAGTATATATTTTACACCAATGTTAAAAAGGATTGTCATGACTCGAAGAATGTAATTGCATGCACTTGCTTTCTTTTTGAGCAGAAGCTGGTATTTCCTTCTCCATAATTACAAACGAGTAAAATTATTTGTCATATAGTCACTTTAATGCCCACTGCTTTCCTTTTTTTATTTTAGATGAAAGCATGGCTTGCAGACAAAGACGCTGAGGCATTGAGATGCCAAAAGCTGCTCATTGAGGAGGAGGAAGCTGCCAAGAGGAGGTATGGTCTATTTTTGTAATTTTAGTGAAATTTTTCTGAGGATTTCTTCTCTTAGAGTATGTTTGTATCCTGGGATGTGAAAGGGAAATGAAAACAATAGGTAAGCAAGTTATTTGCATATGTTTGGCTTTACCTTGGGAAATGCAAAGAAAAATATTTTTGTATAAATATTTGGATTTACTAGTTTTCAATAATGTAAATGAATAAACAAACAAAATGCGGTATAAAAAATACGGAGTATGTAAATAGTTTTATTGAATTTGAGTGTATATTTTATTTTCCCTCAAATTTAACTTTACTACATATTTTCTTTCCCTGTCACAACAGACCCATAACAGAAGAGTTTGTTTGATTTATTTGAGTATTTAAGCTTCTTGGACATTTTGATCATTTATTTTTAATGAGTTATATCTACTAAACGCATACTTGCAGGCAAACCGAGTTGTTGGAAAAGAAACGGCAGAAAAAACTGAGGCAGAAAGAACAGAAAGCAAAGGATCAGCAGATTTATGAGGGAAAAGTGAATGTCAGTATGACTGCTGCTGATTCTTTAGATGATGATCCACTAGTGGTAGAAGAAACATCAAGTCCCCCATCAACACTGTCCGATTTCAATTCCAGTACTACGCATGATCCACTAGTGGTAGAGGGAACATCAAGTCCCCCATCAGTTCTGTCAGATTACAATTCCATTACTACCCATGGTACATCAACCGACAAATCATCCACCATAGAAACAATTCACTTTTCACTTGTAGATACAGATATTGAACAGCTTGATTTCTTCAATGAACCCAATCCCGTGCTTCCAACCACCCGACGACAATTTTCCAATAGTCACTGGTGGCAGGTACAGCAGTCTCAGAGGATTTGGCGAAATGGAATCTCTATCAATCGAGATCATAATAATCCTACAAAGAATGGTAAGATATGGACGAAGAAAGTCAGGGTAGAAAACGATACAAGTCCAAGTCAAGGAGATGAATGTGAAATGATAATTGGGTGTATTTCGGTTCCAGTGAAAAAGGGCATTACGTGTGATCAACTGGAGAACAATAACTCTTTGTCAAAGAAACATGATGGCACAAACAAGCTTTGGAGGCCTGTGAGCAGCCATGTTGGAAGCAGAGGCAGACAAGATAATGTGGATGAACTTCCATCAAAAGATGATAATAATACTGTTATAGCCAGTAGGAATTGTGTGCGATCCTTCGATATGGGCAATTGCAACACGAACAGTTTGGGTAAAGTCTTGGAAGTTGATACACATGGAAAATGTTTGCGGTTCTCCAGTAGTGCTGTGAAAGAGTTTCTTGCACAGAGTAAGTTCTCATTTTCTCCTGATCTTTATTAATCTCGCCTTCTCACAGTTATTTAATGTTCTCTAATCTCTGTTTAGTGCCCATTTGGGCTTTTGGTTAACACCTCTCGCTTATCAACATTATCAATCAATTTTTTTACTACACTTACTCATTTGGATGTGGTGAGTGGTGACTAAATCGCTGATTATATCAAACAGTAGGGCATAATTTATTTTATTCAATTTTTTTTTGTGTTTTACTTTCTTCGTCCCTAAACAAGCTTGACCCTTGCTTTTGCACATGTATTACGATTTTTAGAGATTGTGTGGTTTAGATTTAAAAAGGAAATTATAATTATCAGTTTCCTTCTCTTGAAATGGACTGGAAGTTTTCTGGATACAGCTAAGAAAGAAAATTTGAAGTTTATGAAGGGACAGATCTATGTTTTTTGTAAATATGTCTGTCATTTGAGCTACCATTTCAACAACTTCAGCCGATTGAGTCACTTCAACATATAAAAGGGGGCCGCCCCCCATTTTTCAACACGAAGGCAGTGGTGGACACAAAGTGGGGCAAGTGGGGGCCGCCCCCCATTTTTTAAACTGGATATAATCACTCCAAAATTTTAATATATATATGTATTAATATGTATATCGTATAACTTACACTACCGCCCCTCCAGTCGGGAATTTATGCGTCTGCCACTGCACGAAGCCATCTCTGCAAGGCGAGGGTCCAGAGAAGGGTCCCACCAGGCCACCACAAGGATGTATAAGGAGCAAGTCTTCCTCTGACAAGAGGTCCCTCCCAAGACTTGAACCTATCATGCCATAACCTCTCACTCACAGAGCAACACCTTAATCGGTGTGCCAAGACTCCCCTTCAACCTACTCGGCTAAATTATTAGATGGACTGTATTGTGCTTTTTTGGTGTTTGAGTTGCTGATTAATTTCAACCAATGTAGGATGGAAGGAGGCCATTGCAGCAGATCACGAGATATTAGTCCTCTCCCATGTCCCTGAATCTCTAGCGTGCCTCAATGCTCGATGTAGAAGTCCAAAAATTGGAGTGGTCAATCTCAACTGGAAGTCTACAACAAAACCAGACAATGGTATTCGCAAGCACGTTTTAAAACCAAAAAACTGATATTTGGACAGCGGAGAAGAGTTTTGTTATTTTAGGAATAGCTGCTTATACACCCTTGTGGGGGACCCTTCCCCAGATCCTCCCTTGCGGGGATGGCTCTGTCCACCAGGTTGCCCTTTAGGAATAGCTTTGAAGTCAACTTTGAAAGTGGTCTTCTGATAGCAACTGAAAATATTGAAAAGTATTCTTTGTAGCAAACATTTTTTGAAGAGGAATAACTTTGTAGTTCTGCTCACTTCAGCCTGTCTGTATTATTTTCCTTTTTGCATTTCTTTCATTTTGCGCAGCAAATTTTTCTGTAATAAGTTGTAATTTTCATAAATTACTAATAAGTTCTTTGACTTCTTGATTGGCCTTTGTGAATTGTGATGCCTCGTTATAATGTTATATCCAGCTGCGTGATCCCTCCCCTTTTACTGCCAACATTATATGGGTTGTAACTTGTGTTATAATATGAGAAAATTGTGGATGGATTTTTAAGTTTGTGATTTTACGGGTTTGTTTCATATTTAATGATCATTAAATGCTTGCTAACCAAACTGACGTCTTAGTGGTTCCTTGTATCGTCGGTCACTCAGTCCAGTTGCAAACCTAAGCTCCTGTTAGGTACTCCGTCCTAGTCTGGGTCCTGGTCGGTTCCAGATACTCAGATGGTCTTGTCTTGGGCGGTTAACAACTTCTATACAAAACTAACGAGCATCGTTATGAAGATAAACTAACACGTTACGAATTTTCTCAATGATGTCTATCTCAACTGGTTGTATAATATAGTTACAAGTTTCTTTTGAAAAAGCAATGTAATGGTCTTTAAATCTAAGAAGCCCAAAAATTAAATTATACGGAGTAAGTATTACTCCAACGAATAGACAGGTCTCTAGAAAATTAAATTATAAGTATTACTCGTTTAGCCATTTCAGCTAATAATGGACTGAAATGTGTTAATTTCAGTCAATTATGTTATAGATGGCAATGTTTAGATGAAAGACTTAAGTGACCTTAAGCTGGAAATATCAACTGAATCAAAACGTTCAACTAGGAGACGTTTCAATTCAGCCGCTTGTTTAATTCCTATAAAAGCCTTGCCGCACTCTTATGTTAACTTGCTGCACCACGACCTCTTAGAACACCCACGTTGCCACGTTGGACTATGTGTATGTATACATCTCTAATACGGAGTACGTAGTAAGTAATAACATGTGTTATTGGCGGTGAATGGAATATAATAGCGAATGAGATAAATCCTAAACTACAATTAGCTTTTGTTTTTTGAAAATATACTTAAATATCCGCATGCATAAAGCCATAAACTATTATCTTGGCTCAAATGCATAAGTGCAGTTTACTTCCGTGAGGACTTTTACTAATGCCTTGTGAAAATAGATGACTATATGAATGGCGGCGTGATAACATTTATCTTTGATGTTTAATTTTTCAATGATTTTGACTTGACAAATAATATATAAATGCATCCTACAAAATAACGTGTCTAGAATATTGCGAAAACATAATTTTTGATTCAATTATATTATTTATAATATATTTTGAATTATTATAATTAGAGTTAGTTTTATTTAAATTCTTTTACTAAATAACCCAACTAAAATAATATTTAATACGAGTTTAATATTATTTTCTGATACAGAATCAGCACAACATGCCCTTCTCGTAATTTAACAAAAAAGTAGTTTTAAGTTTCAAGACTAAACAATTCTCTACTTCATACAGCAAAAGCACTACCAAACACACCTACCAGAATCAGTTTATGGTACAATCGTAAATTCTGCCTCTCCATTAAAAATAGACACAAAAATAAGTATCAAAATGACCAATATCTCGGTACAGCAATTTACAGCAGTTTTTCCCTTTTTGAGTTGTGTTCTATATACAGGATGAGGTAGTTAATGGTTTTAGCTACTTGACTTGTGAAGGGATAACTATTTATTAAAAATTCTAAATCTTCTGGCAAGAGTTTGGAAGAGGGGAAACAAAAATATCAACCTCTAATTAGAGTCAAGCCAATTGCTGTTACAATAAGAGTGGAAGGAACACCAAATTTGAGATGGCTCCAGAATGACAAATTGTACCCCACATATTGAGCCCTACGAGCCTGCTCGCACACTATCAAGTTTGCAGCAGACCCCAAGAGCGAAAGATTCCCGCCCACTGTGCTCACCCAAGCCAAGATAAGCCAAGCCTTCTTCTCACTTGCCGGAGATATTTCGGCTGCTGAAGCTGCCACCCTCGCCCCTAACAGCAAAACTGTCACCAACCAAAAACAACTTCAATTGCCTGAAAGGATACAACTAATGATGTAACAAATGATGTTACGGTCACACACGAACCTGTGGGTACATTTGAAGCTAAATTGGAGAGTAAGAGTATGACAGCACCAAGAACGGCTATTCCGCTGACGTGATCTATTTTGGCGTATGGCTCCATGAAATCCCAGACAGCACTTGGAAGCCCCGTTCTGTTAAAGCCGTCGATTGTGATGAACATCCCGCAAAAGAATATCAACAATGAATATGATATCTGTGGAATGGTAAAGGAAAAAACATTGTTTTAGTTTAAAAAATAAATCCTCAGGTAAATTATACTCCCTCCGTCCCATAAAATAGTTCCCGCATTGACTTGGATCGGAGTTTAAGAAAGTGGGAATAAAGTGGAAATGTATGGTTGTGATTGTGTAAGAAAAAGGTAAATGAATGTGAGCCACACAAAACTTTCCAAAAGGGGAAATGTGAATTATTTTTTGGGACGGCCCAAAAAGGAAACCGGGAACTATTTTGCGGGACGGAGGGAGTATATATATATATCCACCAAGATTTGATCAGACTATCAGATTCTGGTTTCTAAATTATTACTAACAACTACAGAACTACTTGACCTGTTGAAGTTTTCGTGAATGACAGTAAATTTTCGACCCATAGTATATTTGGAAACATTTGTGGTTAAAACCTATTAATGCTTCCCAAATTAAATATCGACCACATAATTTCACTTTTGAAAATATGCTTGCAACTTCCTCCCATTATTAGAGTATGACGGAGGTAGTATATGATATTTTCACGTTCGGAGGAATCAAGTTTTCCGGACTAAAATTCAATGAATACTCATTACAAACAACCACATATGGTTTTTTATTTTTCAGACAAAAATACAATGAATACAATGACATTAGTAGGAATTGAGTTTTCGGACAAAAATGCCCTCAGTGTCTGTCCTCATATTTTTTTTACAGAAAGCTTTATATATTTAGACAAAAATGTGTTTAAACACCAAACTGAATCTAACAGCACATGTTTCTTCTTAATATCATTATATTCTAAAATCTATCAATGTTAAAAGGTCGTTTGTAAAAGATATGACAGGTAAGGGTGCAGCTTACATGTAGTTCAGAAGTCAGAACCTTCAGTAACACTTAGTAATTGGACCAAACCTGAAGCTAAGTATAGGTAACCAACCCTTGATCTGCACCTAGGCTCTAGTCCGTCAATTGCCACCTATGTTCATTTTCACTCTTAGGCCTTCCCTAATCCCACTCAGATTCTGTCTAATTTGGAGTAAACCGTGTCAAGGACCTACTACACTAGGCCTCAATTTGTTCTCCACCCAGTGCTATTTAATATTGAGATGAAAAAAGAAGTATATAGAAAACTTGAGTTGACCATAAATTATACGTGTCGAATTTGGTCATTATATTATTAGTCAAGATAGCAAAGTTGATTACGGGAACATAAGATTGGTGAGGGGGAAGGCAAATATATACCTTTTCCAAGCATGGGCGTGCATCCTTGAAATCAAGAACCACAAGAACAAGTGCTGCAGTAATTGCAGACCAAGACATGTTCAAACCCATCAACAAAGAGATTAGCATTCCAACAGTAACAAGATAAACACACACTTTCCACACCGCCCTTCTCCACACTTCCAGAGACTTCCCTTTCTCCTCTTGACAAGAAAAGTTCTCGGCTTCACTTACATGATTCGATGAGGGTAACTTTGATGCATCAAGTGACGACGCATTTGAGCTTCGGGCAGAGTCGATCTTATCAATCTCACTCTCACTCACACTTCCACGGTTCCTAAGTGTATCAGGATGATTCAAGTGGTCATTGACATTTGGATGTGACATAGTAGCAGGGGAGAAGTGGTGAGAGACAACTTCTTCTTCTGTCACAACTTCTCCACCAGAAGCGTCTTCTTCGTCTTTCTTTACTGACAATAATTTCCAATACATGCACAACAATAGAAATGCATTGACTGATATACCCACTAGCATTGCAGGAAAACTTCCGAGAAAAAACTTGCCGAAAGATATCTTGCTCTTCATTGCTATTACTAAATTTTGGGGATTCCCTATTGGAGTAACCGCAGACCCAATGTTTGCACTAGAAGCCAGTGCTAGTAGGAAGGGGTGGGGTGGGAGGTTTTGCTGCCTGGCGATTTTCAGCAAAAACTCTGTCAAAACCACACAAGACGTGTCATTTGTGAATAGAGCACTGGAAAAGGCTGAGATGAAACAGACTCTCAACAGCAAATCCTTAGCTCCTTTGCTTTTCCATGCCAGCAATTTCCCGAGATACTTAAACATATCTGCCTTTTCAAGATACACACTGACTACCATTGTCCCAAAGAGAAGTCCAAGAATGGGAAGATCAATGGCAGCATATGCTTGATCAGGTGTCAAGATTTGAAAAAGAACCATGAGCATAGCCCCAAGTAAGGACCCAGCGGTCCTTCCTATGGGCATAAATGGAACCGCAGGGAAAACTGCTAACACCCAAAAGATAGCAAAGGCAATCAAGCCAAGAACCACTTTCACAGTTGGAGCCATCACCATATCTCCTTTCCTTTTATTTAGCCGTTCAACAACACTATTAGCTTTCAAATTCCACTTCTTGCGCGGGTCATATTTTATCCAATGACATCTGTAAAAGAACGAACCTTTATCTAACAAACCTTCATAAAACACTAGTGTTACTCCTCTAAGGGTGTAAAATGATGAAATCGCAGGTCTAATATCATACCAGCCTCTATTAAGCTACAATACATGGACTCGTCACTATTAGGAATTTAGGACATTCCTACGTTTGATTCCTAACTTTTATTTTTCCACTATTGGTGCTTCAAGGCTACAACTATGAATGTCACCTATGTTGCACGAAAACGCGAAAATCAAGAGGAAACGGGAAACACAAACTTTTGCTCAAAAAACACTTGTTTGGAGAGTTTCCGAAAAGTAAACGTGCTCTTTCCCAAGAGTTTCTGTGCCACATAGAATCTCACTCATTATCCCCTGCCACTTTTTTGTGGTAATCAACCAAAAATTGCCTTTTTCGGGAAAATCAGCCAAACCATACACATAATTGCTGTGTAGCAAGGAAACTCTTATGAAAGAATATGTTCCCGTTTC